AGACTCCAGCTCAAAAAAAAAAAAAGAGCAGAAATGGCACCATAGGAGCTGAAGCGTTTGTCGTCAACAGATTGTAGTGTACGCCCTGAGGGGCATACGATACTGTGTATACAACATTGTTTGCTTCTCTGGTGCCCTGTGATACCCGTAAGCAGTGACTGAGATGGGGCTTGGGACATCTAGTGGTGGATGCTATGTGGGACGGTCAGCCCCTCGCCCCACCACCAACCATGGAAGGGCTGCAGCTGAGCCACAGCATTAACAGGCGGGCCCTTCCCCAGGTCCAGGAGTCTGTGGCCAGCTGCTTGCCACCCCTCGTGCCAGCCATCAAGGAGGATGCTGGAGGGATGATCCAGAGGCTCATGCAGCAGCTGCTGGAGTCAGACAAGTACGCAGAGCGCAAAGGAGCCGCGTACGGCCTGGCGGGCCTGGTGAAGGGCCTGGGCATCCTCTCACTGAAGCAGCAGGAGATGATGGCAGCACTGACTGATGCCATTCAAGATAAGAAGAACTTCCGCCGGCGAGAGGGTGAGTGTCTCTGAGCTCGGGGCTGCCCAGCATGGGAAGTTGGTCCCCACTTTGCCAGAGGAAGGAATCCGATCCTGGCACCCCAGGCGGAGGCTACTGTTTGTGTGTGTGCTACAGAGGGCCCTACTGTGTGCAACCCAGTCCAGTCAGGTCCTTGCTGATTTCCTTGGACTTGTAGTTTTCTAACTCAGCAACACCCTTAGCTGAGAGAGGTTTGGCTTTTTTTTTCGAGATGGAGTCTTGCTTTGTCACCAGGCTGGAGTAAAGTGCAGCGATCTCAGCTCACTGCAATCTCCGCCTCCCGGATTCAGGCAGTTCTGCTTCAGCCTCCCAAGTAGCTGGGATTACGGCTCATGCAACCACATCCAGCTAATTTTTGTATTTTTAGTAGAGGTAGGGTTTCACCATGTTGGTTGGGATAATCTCGATCTCCTGACCATGTGATCTGCCTGCCTTGGTCTCCCAAGATGCTTGGATTACAGGGGTGAGCCACCCAGCCTGTCCAAGGTTTGGCTTTTCTTTTTCTTTTTTCTTTTTTTTTTTTTTTTTT